TTGTGCAAACACATCACAGTTTCGTTCTCTCTGCTTTGGGAGTGTTATTTTAGCCTTCGACCATACACTCACATTCAGATTTAGATTGTCTGCGGTTGCTTTATCAGTTGGTAGAACTTGCTGTGCTATGCATAACATGTATGCTGTGCAGACAGTCAGTAAAGCCCATTTTGCACCAGACATGCTAACCATGCTGCTTACCACGCGTTTAGTGTAGTCTTTTGCACCGGTCTCGTGCGGCATGCGGTGGTAGCATGTGCCTGAAGTGCAAATACAGGCTTCGGGTCTATTTTTGATGCTTGCCACCCACAGCATGCTAGCAGTTTCTAGAAAGAAATACTACAAAACTCTGTACTCTTGCTATATTTTGCAGTCTAGGTCCACAATCAAACAGCAGAAAGCTGTTTTAAACTGGTGCAGCTGCACTATATAATGAGGGAAATGAGCCAATCAGAACTTCATTTATACAGTTATAGCTAAGCTAGAATGTCCTTTACGCAAAGATTATTTAATTGGTAAGTGGAATAAAGACACCTGCAGTTCATATTGCCTCCATTACTGGAAAAAACAAATGGGTGGAGATGGATGTGAGTGAGAAATTCATTCAAACATGGCAGATCATAAGTGGAAACTGCTGTTGGTTGTTTTAATCAAGCCAGTCGCTGTTCTACTGAAAGCTGGATATTACAGCGAGGTGACACCAGCGATTCGTTTTTCTGTTGTATGTCAACACCTCGTCATAGAAATCAATGGCGAACAAAGCGGTTTCACGCTTTTCTTCTTGCCGCGTGTGCCGCATTGTTTCTAGTGTAAAATCAACTTAAGCACATGACGGAGCAGAGGGGGCGTCACGTGATCCACTGAGAGTGGGCAAACAGAACTTTCTGACTTTAGTTGTGACAGGTGGCAATAGCAACAATGTGCTGACGATAAAAAGACAAGTTAAAAGAATGGCTGAAATAAAGTGATAAATGCTGTAAGACCCTAAATTGTACTCAGCAGATAAATGATTTTATCCAATAAATTGATAAAATACAAATTGATGATACAATTTACATCCCCCCTTTTCACCCTTATATAAAAAACACCTTGGTGATTAATGATAAACTGTGACTCATATTTGATCAAATCAACAATAATTTTATCAAATAACAGTTGATTTCATCAAATCAAATGACTGTCACTCAAAAATTTATATTTTTGAGCATTATATCATAAAATTTTTGTAAACTTTACCCTTCATGTTTATGTGCTCTAACAGAGGTAAATCATTTTGGTCAAAATAATGCAAGCCAATCTTTTACCATGTCACATGATTGATTTACCAGTGCCTAAAATATTACATTGTAGAATAAGTAGCACTGTAATAACAACACCAGTACTTTGGTCCACATCACGCTGCCCTAATAGACAGTTTTGCCAACTGTAACCTTGACATAAGTCACTGTGAATAAGCATTAAGTTCTAGTGCATTTCACTGTGGTCATTTAGTGCCTCTCCTTCGCTGCACAGGAAGGCTGGAACAATGCCATGATGTCAGAGCATGCAGCACTTTCCTGTTTTCATTTTGTTGTCCAAACAGGGGGCAAAACACGCGGGTTGGAGAGTGGAGCACATGTGTAGCATCCAGTCTTGTGCAGCACTGCTGTACCTTACATTACCAAATATGAAAAATGTGGGCACAAATACTAACCTACTTGATTAAGTATAGTTAGCTGTAAGTTTTGAGTGAAGTATATGCTCAGGCAGCCACATTCCTAAATGCTTGTAACCTCTAAATGAATCATAGTATCAACTTTGAGGTGAGTTTGTTTCAGTCATATGTGCCTTGGTTGCTGCTTTGGTAGCAGACAGCACTTGGTTAACCATTCTAACCCTAAAGGAGATATAAAACAGAATACTTACATGTGATGGATTTTCAGCACATCACTAATGTAACTCGACCACATAGAGTTTACTGGCGAGAAGTGCTGAGCTCATGAACTCGAATGGATTTCTTACTAACTCTCCATTACAGCTAATGTTCATGGAGCCAGTTTAAGAACCATTACAAACAGCCATGGTTGAAGTAAGTGGTGTCCCTCAGGAAACACTTGGCTCTGCGCGAGATGATTGAGAAAGACAGCCTGACAATAACATGATTTGTGGTAGAATATGGCTTTCCAAAACAACAACGGTGTAAATATTTTGTTGAGTGCACATTTCATACAGAGTTCAAAAAAAGTCACAAATTCATGACATTGCACAACTTGACTTTGTTTTTGTTTTTTTTTTCAAAGTTTTTGTTTGGTTTGTTTTTCTCCTTCTTCATATTGTAGAGACAATAGCCAGGTTTCCATCCAGCTGTCAAAATAGATTTGAGCAGATAACTGAAAAGCTTTACATAATTCCTTCAGCTCTGTACATTACATTTGTAAAAGCACTTCAGAGAAATATTGAGTGAATTTACAGAGAAACTGTATGGATGCAGGCTATTTTATATAATAAGAGTAAGCAAAAATTACTGCTCAGGAGATTTTAGCAGGCACTTCTTTTACTAATGTCACCATTATATTTTTTATCTTTCATAAGATAAACACACATTTTAATTTCTACATTAGTCCACTGGTACCTGCTGTCTTCTGTGGTTGGGCACCTGATAGGTCATATGAATTTTTTTTTGCTTGTTTTTACAATTTATTCATCAAATCATAATTTATTACTTTTCTTTTTTACTGGCAAATACTTTATCCATCTTAAGCGAGCGTCCTTTTTGGCGATTCTGTTCAAAATTAGCTGTTTCCATCAAGTCTTTTTACTCTGTATACCAAAATATGCATAAAAATAGATCGATAAGGACTGGGTGTCTTTTGTAGCTGACTATATAGATTTGAAGGGAAATTCCACCAATTTTTCAAAATTTTTGCATAATTAACTTGCTTGATTGGCCTAAAATTTGGTTTTTAAAAAACGTTCATGGCTGAGAGGTACACGCAAGGCAAAATAGTCCCAAAGAAAACTTTTTCAGATTTATCATTATTTTACCATCATCAACATTACATATCAAACCTCAGAAGACACGTGTAGGTTCACTGGTAGTTTTGGCTACATCTGCGTTGTTAACATTGCAACCCGATTCCTGTTACCACCACTGTAAAGAAATCTGAGTTGGTAGGTTTCTCTGCAATGAACCATTTCACAGAAAAACACAATCTAAATGACTTTGTTTACATCTCAGTTATTGAAGTGTGTAGAACGTTTGAAAAATCAGTGGAATTTCCTTTAAAGGAGATACATTAAGCTGCAGTCACACTAGATATCTGCGGTTTGCGTTGCCTTGCAAATTGGATGTGACAGATGCTGAACTGGAAGATTGGCGACAAAAAAAATCCTCCATTCCGGGTGGACTGGATCCACTGGGGTGGATAATATGATGAAAATATAACATTACAATACTTCAAGATACTTTTACCATGTCACAATATTAATATATTTTTTTTATTTATATATTTTGATAAGTTGGAACAGACAAAAAAGAACCAGTAGAGCCACATATTATCAAAACCTGAATACAGTGACTTATATTGTTTCATCTACTGCACAAAATCCAATTAAACAAGCCTAATTCAGCTCTCTTTGTAATGTCCCATTGCCCCCCCTGAGATACATGCATTTATTGATGGGCCCAGACTGTGGCTGGAGTTTTGAGAGAGGGGACGGGATGGAAAAGGACGAATGGGTAAAAGAATAGATGAGGGTACAGTAAAGCAAGCCAAGCCCAGTAACCCTCTAATAGTTCCCATATGTGGCAGTGGTTGGGCCTGAGGGTTTGGAGGGGGAAAGCGCTAAAGACTGTGCTACAGTAGAAGATCTCCATGGAGCTGAAGGGGCTAAAAAACAGAAGGGCTGTGTGTGGTTAGCCTGGCACTGTCCTCCCTGTCCTGAGATCATGCCTTAGCTATGCTAACCAACTCAGGAACAGCAGCTACACAGCAGCCGGATCTGCATGACCTCAGCTCCTCAGGATGGGGTCGGATCTCTCCTGCTTCAGAAACTTCCAGAAGCAGCAGTAAAGTTGTGAAAACTGAAACTGAGTTGTGAAAAGAGAATATTTCCTGCTAACTACATAATACTTGCTTTTGTGGGGTTAAAGCAGTTTTATCCCCACCTGGCCATCAATTTCATCACCTTAAGAAACGCTGACTGGCTTCTGCTGAGCCTCCAGCTTCAGCACTCTATTGATGCTCATTGTTTAGCTTTGACTGCGCCCTCCGTGGCTCCACATCCCTTTGGCGTGACTTGGCATTCCTGAGCCAACTCAGTTACCATGTAGCGTGTCCCACTAGAACAGGAAGCTTGGAGGAAGCGAGTCATGCTGGCCTTTTTTCTCTCATTCTTTAATTCTGTCAAGAACTATTAAATAATAAATTATTAAACAAAGTATTAATATCTGATATGGATTCCATTGCTTATGTTTTAATGGACTCTTTAAATATCTAAGATGTTTATTGTCTTTAATTCTATGTGATGGACTGAGGTATTTTAAGGGAATTCCACCTATTTTTAAAACTTTCTTGTGTAATTAAATTGTTAATTACAGTCAGTTACAGTGAAACAGTTTTTCAGAGCGGTTAGGTGTGAAATGCTCCTTTCTAGAGAAACATGTTGAATATATCAACAGACATCCGAAGCTTTTAATGCCTCTCTTTGGTTAAGAATATGCTACCTGTTGCCATAGACATTGTTTTACATTCGTTTGAAACTGGTCTGTCTGGTCTAAAATGTTTGTTTTCTTTGTTTGGTTAGTTTTCTGCATGTAAGGCGTTGTGAAACAAATGTTACCCAGAGAGACCTTCTTTTTAGATTTTCAACACACATCAAAACCTATAAAATCTTAAAATTTTGCATCAAAACTCTATGGTTGACTCTGTTTTACATAAAAATAAGCAGAAATTTTAATTATGCAATTTGGTTTTATGTAGTGGGAAATAAAGCGTTATTTTGATTCTTTTCTTCCACAGTGTTGTTCCTCTGCTGAGGGAGTCCATAGGAATCCTGATGCAGCGCACTCCTCCTTCCCTGGACCATGCTCTTCCAGACTGTTACCAGAGGGTGAGTTGCCCAGGGCTGGTCATACAGAATAACACTTCTTTACGGGATAGTCTGGGCAAAAATGCTAACATAGCTAACTTACAGAAGCAGGCAGGGCTTGACCCAGCAACTAGTATAACCTGGCCATCGGATTTCATTTCCTTCTGCCTTCATGTTGTTGTTTGGAGTTTCAGCTTGATCTGTCACTTTAATAATAATGGGTTGTTGGTTTTATAGACTGTTGTCTGTGATATTTTCTGCAGGTCCAGCAGCTGCAGGGCGTTTATAACCTGCAGGAGCCTCATTTCTGGACATTGTGCACGGACGTCTACATCGGCACTCTCAAACTCCTCGTGGCCCCTGACGCAGATTCCCGATGGATCCTCAGTCAGACGCACAACATTTTCACACAGGTGAGGGCAAGACGTGAAGCCTCCACCAGCTTCCAGGATCTGGCTGTCTCAGTTGAAATTTACTTTGACAGGATTGCTTAAAGAATTTTCCTCTTACCACAGATTTAGTCAGCAAGCCCAGATGGTGTTTAAAGTTTGGCACTGGAGCCACAAAGCTAATGTAGCTAACAAGTAATGGAAGCTCATACCCCCTCCCCCCAGTTAGCATTGTGCAAACTGCAAGCCTAAATCATTACACTGTTACGACATCTCAAATAGACTTGTTCAGGTGGTTTCTGAGGCTGTATGACATACTCTTATTCCTAAGATGGAACAAACATGTTTTAGCACAGCTATAAACAGCAGCCATTCTAAAGCCTTAATTATGTCTGTACTTTTTTCCCAGGTTTATAGATTACAGTATGTCAAACAGTGTCAGAAACCACATAAGCAAATGAAGTCTGAGAGTATGAGGCAAGTGTAATGATAAGGACATTTGCATGAAACCATATAAATAATAGGTGCTGCTATATCCCATGTGTCAAAACACAAAGCCTGCAGACCAAGTCAGGCTTGTGACACGGTCCTTTTCAGCCTGCGAGATTATTTTAATTCTCTATTATTATCATTAGCCCGTTTCACCCTGAGATGCACTACAGTCCCCAGCATGCACTGCAACACACTGTGCATCTGACTCCCAACAGCAATCTCTGGGCAAGTGGTTACACAAAAGAAAAGATGCCTGGTGTCTAGTTCAAGCAAATAGGCAGTTTAAAAAAAGACTACCTAAAACTATTTTTATTTAGAATTATTTTTGAGTAAGTATTCAGTGCCTATTTTGCTGTAGCAGTTTTGGCATATTTTGAACAATGTTAAGTAAAAATGAAATAAAAACGCAGGTGGCCCACCGATTTGCTGACATTTTTTAATATGGCCCTTTTAGTGGTTGAGTTTGACAACCCTGTGCTATATGAAGCCCTGCCCCTTCAGAGGTCAGTGCAACCAAAGCAGTAGTGCTATTGGCTGAAGCTGTGAATTGGCATGTTGAAGTTCACCAAAGCTGGACTTGGTGAAGCTTCACATGCAAAATTTATTCTGTACATCTGTTCTAACATGCAAGTTTATGCTGAATATAGTTTGTTGGTGCATGTGAGACACTAAGCTGTGCAGTGTCGTCCAGCATTTGAGTCTAAGAATACACTTTTTTTTGATTATTTCCATCCTCAGGTGGGAGTAAGGCAGCTGTATGTTCAGATTGACGTGGCAGCCATGTAGGAATTGGCCTGACGCGGGTGTCCTGGGACCAAAGCCCTCTGTGCTGCTATGGGGAAGCTCACCGCCAAAACCCACCCCTTTCTCTCTCTCTCTCTCTTTCTTTCTTTGGGTTTCTGCTGCTCCACCACCCCCCTCGGACCAAGCTGGAGCGGCTGCAGTACAGAACACTGACTCTTACCAGGAAAACCAAACAGCAGCAAAAACAAGTTGCCAACAACGTGATACGTCCAAGGGAAACGACATCTTGCATCATGAGCATTGCCAACACTGGGGCCCTTGGTCAGCAGTTCCTGTTTTTTTTGTTTTAAACGTCCCTCAAAGACTTTTCTTCTGTATTTGATGTCACCCTCTCTGTATGGTTAGAATGAATGTTTTAATTTTTTTTTTTCTTGAACCTGTACGTTCCGTAGACATTGATTTAAAACGAAAATGGCCTGTAACAGTATGTGATTCATCAGTACAATAATTTTGTATGTCGTCTGACCTTTTGCAGCAGTCGCTTATGCCGTCATGCACCTCAACTCAGCTGTACCCTGGACCTACTAAGTGCCTTTTTTATGGTGGATCTGAAACAATCTCCCAAATGTCTCTCAAACATCTGGAATCATGTTCGGCACGTTCCCAGTCACACATGTCCTTCATGTTTGTTGGGAAAGGGTTAATTCTAGCAGTTGAACATTCCTTTGTATTTGGGCTCTCTTTTTATGGTGTGGTATCATTAGTTCTCAAATATCTGCTCGTGTAGACTCCAGGAAGCACACCAGCTTTATTCAGCCATAAAAGGATCTGATGAGCCACTTTGGTGTGATTAAAAAAATCATAATTTAATTACTTTTTTTTTTTTTTTTTAAACTACCCACCTGTGCCATTGGCCAGTACATTTGTGCAATGTAATAAATAATTTTACAATCAAATTGTTTTCCTTTTGATGGAACTTAGGGATGTGCAATGATATTGGAATCATGTTGGTATCTACATTTTAACTGCCTAAGAACATTAGATGTTTAGATTTCCCATATTTTTGCATCCCTAGGAATTAGAGAAGTACATGACACATTGGAGAAATGCTCTGTTTATTTTCTATTTTTTAATTTATGTTTCGAGTTAAAAGAAGTGTGAGACATGGTGAACCGGGATAGTGAAGTATTAAAGTAAGTAGATGAACTGAAGTCTGAAGAACTGTCATTATTAAGTCTGACATTGTGCAGTACTTGATTCTGACAGGTATCACAATAAATACCAATGCTAAACTGTATTTCCAATGCAGCATTATTTCAGAAATCAGCCAAGCCTGAATAACTTGAAGTTCTGGAAACAAAAGGTCTGTGCTGGTTGTCTGGATTCACTCAAACTGTTCATTATAAATCATACAAAATACGTTAAACATGTTATTCCACAACTGCGAGTGTTTGGAGGAGCCAAAAGTAGAATACGGTCTCTCTTTCTCTTCTTTTTGGTCGAAAATGTTATACAGAGACAAATGAACTGAAGCGAGAGCTCAGCAAACCCACTAAAGCACGTCCAGAAACTCAATCCACATGTTGGACTGGGACTACAGGAAAACCAGCAGTAATAAAACGAATGTCTTTTATTGGAGGGATCAAAGCAACATGACAAAGCCTTGTTCAGGCTGACAAGACCGTTTTTCGGGACATAAAAACACGCTGTATGTTCACATTCATGTTTAAAGCATTTGCATTTTGAAAGCCAATCCTATTCAGAAGCACAGCTTCAAATTACAGGAGAGCTTCACTTTTCAGTGGCACTAAATTTGAGCCAGATGATTTTTTTTTCCTTATATTTTTTCCGTTTCCTCCTCTGTAATTCTGTTATGCCATTTTCTGACACACGATACGCACCAAAGCCTCACATAAAGCTAATTAAGTGACCTTAGCTTGACCGCCATAATGAACAGAACCATGGCCTGGCCGTTCCTTTGGAAGGTGGACTGGAATGGATTTGTTTGACCGGCAATAACAATTATCTAATTTGTGTGGTTTCCTTTAAACTCTGTCAGTGCTGGAGATCAGACAGATCACCTGATCTGACAGCTTTCCTCACAGAGTGTCCATTCACTGAAGCCCAATGTTCCCCTAAGTTCCTGCAGGTTCTTCTGAGGTTCTCAGGAGATGTATGTGGAGCTGTCGGTCATTTTCAGGCCATTTAGACTCTCTGGGCCACTGAAGAGCCTGAGCATGTCCAGCTCGAGTGGATGGAGGTGTCCAGTGATGATCATGGAGTGCAGTGGTCCTCCCAAGTCACACGAAGCCATCTCTCGTAGAGACCCTGCTCGAATGGCCTGGTCATCGGCTCCCACCCGAGCCAGACCCACACACACCGTCTCCTCAGTGATCGCTGCGGGACAGGCAGCACACAAATCCAATAAGCTAATCTAGAATTAAATGACCAAACGCTTTCAATCAAATGTAATCAGATTTTCATGCAGTCCTTGACAGATATTGTTCTTATTGCCCCTCGGTGCTGACCGAGGCAGATGGCCCAGCCACCGGTCTGTTCTCTCAGAACCTGTGTGTGTCTGTTGCATAACAGCAGGAGTCTTTATCCCTATTCTGCAGCCCCTGAACAAGACACCTTTTTGTGTTTTCTCTGCACTAAACTTGATTCAGCTAATGAGGGGCTTTATAGTGACCTGATGAGCTAAATCAGGTGAGTCAAATGAGGAAAACACTGCGGTAAATGTGACAGATTGAGCTGAAAAGCCCTATTTTCACCTACTGTCACTCATCAGGTCTAAGAAACCTAAATAGGGACATGCTTTGATCGGAAGGTGCTGACTGAACTGCTTTAATTTCGGAATGTTATAATCCTTTATAATTGATTTTAACAAGATTAAATAAAGTGTGTTCTCATTTTTGGTCAAAACAAAATTCTCAGGCTATTTTCAAAGCTAAAAATAGGGCTGTCAAATGATTAAAATAATCCACTGCAACAAATCGCATTATTTTGTGTAGTTAATTTGGATTAATCACATTTGTAACTGCTTAACTCTGGCCCTGTAAAAGCAGTGCATTTTGCTGTAGCTATGTGAGCAGACAAAAAATGTGTTTATTACCTTCAATAATTCAATAACAATATTTTCATCATCATATGAACCTGAACAGTGTTTCCAATTATCATCACTGACATCCAGTGAATGCAACAGTGGAAACATGTTCCAACCAGTAGCGCATACATACATATACACATACACCGATCAGGCATAACATTATGACCACCTCCTTGTTTCTACGCTCATTGTCCATCTTATCAGCTCCACTTACTATATAGGTGCACTTTGTAGTTCTACAGTTACAGACTGTAGTCCATCTGTTTCTCTGCATACTTTGTTAGCCCCCTTTTACCCTGTTCTTCAGTGGTCAGGACCTCCATGGACCCTCACAGAGCAGGTACTATTAACACTGACGTGTTGTGCTGGTCTGAGTGGATCAGACACAGCAGTGCTGCTGGAGTTTTTAAACACCTCAGTGTCACTGCTGGACTGAGAATAGTCCACCAACCAAAAATATCCAGACAGTGAGTACCAGCGCAACACACACTAACACACCACCACCACGTCAGTGTTACTGCAGTGCTGAGAATGATCCACCACCCAAAAAATACCTGCTCTGTCCATGGGGGTCCTGACCACTGAAGAACAGGGTAAAAGGGGCTAACAAAGTATTCAGAGAAACAGATGGACTACAGTCTGTAACTGTAGAACTACAAAGTGCACCTATATAGTAAGTGGAGCTGATAAAATGGACAATGAGTGTAGAAACAAGGTGGTCATAATGTTATGCCTGATCTGTGTACACACACACACACACACACACACACACACACACACACACACACATTATATATATCTATATATACACACACCCACACACTCACATAAACTATTCTCAGTCACTGCTGGACTGAGAATAGTCTAACTAAAAATATCCAGCCAACAGTGTCCTGTGGGGAAACATTCTGTGACCACTGATGAAGGACTACAGGATGACCAACACAAACTGCAGCAACAGATGAGCTACTGCCATTTGGTGGACCAACATAGTAGGAGTGTCTGTTACTTATACTGCTGCATCAGCAGTGTGATTGCTTACTTCAGACTCTGTGATCTTTTTTAAAAGATATGAAAAGCAACAGCTTGTGAGCAACTGGGCTTCAGGGTAGAACTACAGACAGTTTGAAGGGTCAAACTGGGAAAATGTATTAACAGCATTAAAAAATAACACTACATTAACGTGTTAACTTTGACATCACTACTAAAAATCACCGATGCCAAAGAAGAATCGAAATCTGACTGCTAACGGCACCCTCTGTGGAGAATTTACTGCCTGCTGAATGTGAGTGAGTGAGTTACAAGCCAATTCCATGCTGTGCACCTAAAAAAACGTTTTTATCGTCTGTGATTCACTGGGGTCAGATTTCATGATGCACTGAACTGTATTCCGAAGAATCTAATGTAATCGTTGTGAGATCTGATTCACACCCCTGAACATAACATCACATGAAAGATCACACCATATAAACTCATTTAAACATTCAGCTCGATTCTTCACATGAAGAAACATTTTCTTTCCATATCTCACCCAGTTCCTCTGCTTGCTCTCTGCGGTTCTGCACAATCTCCAGGAGCTGCTCGGCTGCCTGAGCCACGGTCATGAACCTAGGCGGCTCGTAAATCTTACGACCCCTTTAAAGAAGAGACAGAGACACAGACAAAACCCAGAGAGTTTAAAGTGGTGATGAAAACAAAAGGCCTGCTAATGGACTGCTTGTACTTGTCACTGCACTTGTCCTTATGGAATGTGCTTATGAGACAGAAGGGTTATTATGCTGGAGTGCTTGAGCATGATGAGGAAAGCTCCTTGAGCGCCTGAGTGCTGTTAAGATGCTACTAAGCTCTGGGAAGGACTTAACTGTGCATTATGGTGAACACATCCTGCAGTTTTATTGTTTCACTGTTGTCGTTTCAACTTCATTTTTTCGTTTGTTTGCCATTGAGTTTGTAGCTGCCTTTTACCCTGAATCAACTTTACGATGAATGGAGCAACAGAAATGGTCCAAAATTACTTTAAGCCTAATGAAACCTATTTTTTACGTCTCATAAAAAGTTACTATAATAATAGAGAGGCGATGATATGTCGCCTATATGTTCCGCTCACCTGGGGGACAAAGAGGTCACTGATATTCAGTGGCGAACTGTGACTTTTTGAGCTAGGCCTTCATTTTAAGCTGTAAATGTTACAGTTTGCTAATGTGGGGAAAAAAAAATATAAAAATCGCTGATG